GATCCCCAAACAAGACAAGGAGAGAGGGGGTTACCCCCCTCTAATTTTAGCCCTCAAAAATGCATCAAAGCCACTAAAAATCCACTAAATTTCAGTGGCTAAGAGGCCAAACCATGGCCAATGCAAGTGCTCTAATGCATAGCCTTAATCATGAAGAAATGAAGCATGCATAGGGGAAGATGACCCCAAACAGAGAATAGACCTTAATCAAACATAAATATGATATCAAAACAAGATTTTTTGCAGTTTAGGTCGAGGTCTAAAATGGCTCACAAATAAGGCTAATGTGTCATGCAAAAATAGCCCTAAAAGAGAGATTGAACAAACAGGGGAGCAAAAGGCCTCAAACAGCAAAGATCCCTTCAACAAAGTTGAAGAGGGGCTCAAAATAAGATACTTTACATTTTAGCTCAAAGCCCAAAAATGCTCAAACATAGGGCTAATATATCATGCAAAATAAGCCCCAAAAGAGGGATAAAGCACAAAGGGGGCGTAGAAGACTTCAAACAGAGAAAAGTCCTTAATCAAACATGAAGATAAGCTCAAAATAAGACTTTTTTTAGTTCGTGCCGAAGCCAAAAAATGTAAGAAAAATGGACTAAGATGTAGAACAAAATAGTGCAAAAATGGGGAGAATAGGAGCTTACCCTTGAAGCCTAACTTTCCAGCAGCCTTTGGTCCAAGAAAATGATCTTTCAACCTCTGTAAATGACTTCCAAGGGGCTGGAATGGATGATGGTGGTGTGGTGCTATGGGTTGTAGTGTAAATAGACCAAGGAAGTTAGGGTTTTGGAGCTTGGAATAGTAGCAATGGAGGTGGGAGGTGATGAGCCTTGAGCAAAAGTGTCCAACCTCTTGATACAAAGAGGAGGGCCTCTCTTATAGAGAATAGAAGCCAAAGCTTCTCTTGGAAGCTTCAAAGATTCTCCATACACGTGTACGGAGGATGCACCAAATGATCTCCAGCTGACACAACTGGATTATACTCAAAGAGAGGAAAAGCAGTAAGCAGGACGGCCAGTTAAAGTGGCCGGCCGGCCACTCCCCCTGGTCGGCCAACCAGGGGTCAAAAGGTTCAAGAACAATTGTTGGTCGGCCTACCCAGAAAGGTGGCCTCCCAAATGAGTAGAACACAACCCTGTGGAGAAAAACCAGAAAATGCGACCCAAGAGAGAGAAAAGCTAGCTTTAAAGCAAGGTTCAAAAGGGTCAAAGTGAATTACTGGTCGGCCCACCCATATTGGTGGCCTCCCAGATGAGCACAACACAATGGTGGTATGAAAAGCCAGAAAATATGGCTCAAAAGTGGGAAAAACCAGCTTTCTGTCAAAAAAACCAGCTTTTGGAGAGAGAAAATGAGAAAACTGGCTTTTCAGGGGAATAGGTGGCCGGCCACCATCCTACCACTTCCCTAACAGTGAAAACAGGGTTCCCACCAAAAATGGACCAAAACGGATGCGAAACGCGCGGTTTGGGGGCCGAAACGCGCGGTTCGGGGCCCCGAAAACAGGCTGTGAGGCACCGGAAGTGGCGTATGACCACGAAGGTGGTCTCCTAGGCCACAATGTCCCTCTAAAGGGAGGAAATAAGGTGTGTACCAAAAACCGGAGCAAACGGAGGTAGTTAAGCGGTCTCGAACAGAGGCACACGGCCGACGGCTCCGAAAATCGAAAACCGGGCTCCAAACGGGAAAAATGGCCTAAACATAGCCTACGGCCACTGAGAGATGGTCTACGAGACCTCTCCCTTCCTTCGGGAAGAGAAAACAGAGAGAACAGGACCTGGTTCGCAAATCGAGGCAAGGCACAAAAGAGCTCTGAAGTTAGGAGGCAAGGCTTGCAGCCGAGACTCTGAAACCTCAGAACGAGCACAATATGCAACATCACCGAGCGCTCAGCTGGTGACGTCTGAGTCTAAAGGTCGGTCAAAAATAGGGTGTCTACAAGATCATATTGCTTGCTATGATGCTTGTGCATCCTTCTTCTTTATTGATGTATATTGTAATTCTTTTGCATCAATAAAATTCTTTTTTTGCTGATAAAAAAAAAAAAAGTGTTACAAAAAAATATCATGTGGTAAGGTATAGCTCCTACGAATACAGTCAAGTAAAGGATACATATACCATTTACCCGATTCCCCTATGGATAATTGCATTTTTCTTCAAGACGATAACATTCCAGCTGAAGGTAACAATCTAAGTATTGGTAACAATCCAAGTGTTGTTGATGGTAGTGCCTCTGTAAGGGATAAAAGGCCTATTGGTAGAAAATTTTCAAACGAATTTCTTTAGAAAAGTCAATTCGTTGAAGCTAAATTCCATAGATTTAACAATTTGTTGAAGATATTTAACCAACACCTTATTAAGAAAGAAATGAAAAAAGCTGAAAGAGAAAATAAAAGGGTTCAAGTATTGTAGGAGATGAAAGAACTTGAGATGGAAAAGAAAAAACATTTCATAATGATTGCGGACATTTCTAATACGGATCCTCAACTAAAAACTTATTACATAATGCGCAAGAATGAGATTTTCGCAAAGTGGCCCGTACATGTGAGCAACCCAAATTACTATTTTTCCCTGCTTTGCCTCCTGATGAATAATTGGGGGAGAATATTCCTTTTATTTTTCCACGTCATTTATTTTCCAAATGTAATTTTTGGTATTTATGCTTCAATGTAATTTTTATTTTGCAATGTAATGTATTGTTCCAATGTACTGTATTGTTTCAATGTAATTTTGCTTTTGCAATGTAATGTATTTTTCAATATAATTTTAATTTTTCATTGTTATTATGAAAAAATACAAACTTATTGAATGAGGACAATAATTTTTCAATCTATTTAAGTTTTTTTTCAATTTTTCAATATTTTAAATTTTTTTATATTTGTCTAATTTGGTAGAATGCAAATATTTAATTTTTTTTTTTGCAAAAAGTTTGAAAAAGGTCAAAAAAGAAAAAAAAAACAATAAAAAAATATTAAAAATTTATATCTAAACAACACAGAAAATTAGAGGGAAAGTTGGTTAAAATTTGCAAAAATGACATGTGATCATTGAAGCACTATTGCTATAATTTGACAGTGAATAATATAATTTGACAATTTATTATTATTTATTACCAAATTATAGCAAAGTCAAATGCTATTATTACATTTACCATTAGAGATGCTCTAAGATGTCTTTAAAAAAAAAGAATGCCGCACGCGCCTCTCTTTCCCGTTGCTATGCAATCACACTTGCCTCCCAATTCTGCTTCGCCTCCCATTCCCGCCTGCACCCACTATGCTTTACCACACTTGTGTTGAGACTTCACCTTCCCATTGTCCACTAACCTACATCTTCCTAGTAGGTCCCAGCTAACACCATCTTGCATCATCCTTGCAGCCCCAGCTTCCACCAACAATACAGAGAAGCCCACTATGCTTCATCCACACCTGCATTCAAACAATGAAACCCAAATATAACACCCAAGGTCGAAGATCCCCTGTAAGTTCCGAACCATTCCAAAACTCACCCCAAGGTCGGGTCGAACACCACTTCGGGTGAATCTTCATGTCCCAAAAAAAGTGCCCATACTCAATCACCAAAACCCGCCAAAATTCCTCCCTTGTATTAATGTTGAACACTAAGAATCCACCACCAAACTCCTCCCTTATATTGACCACCTATCGAACTTCGAAGTTTGAAGCATAGTTCTAAATATTGGCTGATACGATACATATCGAAAAAATAGAGTACCGCGACGAATACACGCTGCTATACCGTTGAGATTGAAAATTGCAGGCATATCGGCCGAGTCCCGGTACGTGTCGGCCTATAACCGTTATACAAGCCGTTACACAAGTCGCGACGGGCCGATACTCATTAATTCAGACCGGTATGAGAAAGAAAAAGCTAAAAAAGCTGTGAAATAATTTTTAAATTTCACCGCCGCGACACTCGATTCCCAATAGGTACCGATCGATACTGCCGATACCAATACTCCACGATCGAATTGATTCAGTTACGCTACCTGATACCGCGATTTAGAACCATGGTTTGAAGAAAACTCCCATACTTTGAGCACCAAAACCCACTGAATGGTGACCCAACAAGCTTTGAGACCGCCGGAGATGATAGAACAGATACCACCCAAGAAACACCCAGCCGAAAACCGTGAAGAACGCCCATTAAAGAGTATCCAACAATAAACAAACAACAAACAACATCCTAGACAAATCTAGAAATTAGATCTGAAAATGAGATGGTGTAAAATCAAGGGGGCTGTCAAGTTTATTAAGAAGAAATATAAGCGCACACAAAAGACGAAAGCTACGCCAGCCGACTGCCATGGCCACTAATGGCCGGTTGGCCAGCGATGAGGCCCGGGGTGAAGGTTTTCAAATTGATATAGTATTTATAGAAAGAAAGAAAGAAAGGGAGGATTTTCAAAACAAATGGGGGATTTATCTAATCCTATTGAAACCTTTGGTGAGAATTTTTAGCTAGCAACGAAAAGCAAAAATCATTGTTACATATGTGTCGTTTCATGTAATGTCTCAACCTATGTCCAATAATTAGTCTTGAAGACAATAATTAACTTTTTGTTAAAACAAATTTTTATTATAATTTTGCATATCCCCCTCAATCTTTCATTAAGCTTAATATTGATGGATCTTCACAAGGAAATCCAGGTTGAGCAGGAATAGGATGCCTTTCCGTGACTCCCATGTGACTATCCATTGCTTTTAGTAATAGCTACTTGAATCTTATAGTGGAATTGTAATGTAAAATTTTAATTTCTTTTTTAATGTAGTTATTGTTCTTTTGTTCAAAAAACTATTGTGTATAACATTGATATTATGTCGTGTGACTAAAAAAATTTAATAGGAGCTCTCATTATGATACTGTAAATTGCACGATTGACTTTGTGAAAGACAATGGGTCATCTAATATAATTTATTGTTTCCCATTGATCAATAACATTGGAATATGGTAAAATGGAGTCATCATGAGAGAGGGAATATGAAATCACTCTACCTTGTTTTTATTTATTCATCGATTCTCTGGTTACAATACATTACAATACATCAACACGGCTTTATATAGCCTTTCATGCACAATACACTAGACAAACCAAATCCAAAAACAGAACATTAAACCAGATTGCAGTGCCAGTTGATGGGGCCAAAAGGTCCAATACATGACAAACCAAGCCCTAGTTTTATACTAATCAAACGTAATAAAACAACATCTCTTCTACTAATCAACATTCTAAAGCATTCATAGCAAGAAAAGGCACACATTAACCTTAACCCTTGGTGGAAATATAATAAGCAATAGATTTGATAGCCTCACCGGCAAGAATTTCATACATCTTCTCTGTAGGATGAACTGCATCCCAGAATATGTACTTTGTTGGATCAGCACATGTACCCAAACCCTTGCATGAATAGCTGTATTCTATCAACCCCGACCCACAACATCCCTTTGTTGTCACCTTGAAACCTGACACATATATTCATGTCAATATCCTTCTAAAATATATATCATAAAGAAAAATCAAATCTGTCAAATTCAATATTGTTTCCTCACATTATAGGATAGGGGTGAGTATAGGTCTGGTTGATTTGGGCTACAAAGCCAAATCCAGAACCAAATTGATCTTAATTGGTTCCAAATTTTTTGATCTAGAATGGTATCAATAAACCATCTTTTAGAACTAATCGAAAACACAACCCCAACTCAAATAAACTCAGGTTGTTCGGTTGGGAACCACTACTCCATATAAATTGAAATTTTTTTAAAAAATATATTTATATATGTGCCAAACAAATATTTAAAAAAAAAAAATTAATTGAAATTTTGAGTGAAATTGTAGTAGTCCAAATTTCACTATTACTTTAAGGATTAGGCTTAGAAGGAAAAAGAAAAGAAATAAATATTTTTGATGTCTTGTCAATCTTGGGTTGGTTTGGGTTAGTCATCACCAGCAAACTTGATAACCGAATCAACCCAGTTGGGTTGCTCTCAAGAACTGCATAAACTCAATTTATATAGATCAATAGTTGATGCGAAACAAATGTATTAAAAGAAAGAATTTTTCGATCTTTATTTATTATCTATATACTGACCATATTTGTGTGGGTTTTTGATAACCCTGGCAATGACAGAGTAGGTATCAATATAGGCGGTGAGCATCCCTAATGAAGACTTTATGGTAGACAACTTGTCTTTTAACTTGGAATTAAAAGAGAATGCTACTTCATTATATTCGTCGTCACATTTAGAGGTGTCCTTTAGTGTCTTCACTAGTGGCACACAACCAAATGGGGCTAGCCCCACTACTGCCAATCTTCTTGCTCCCATCTTATTCATTTCCTGCACCCAAAACCAAACCATAAAAGAGATAAAAACTTCTAAATCTTTAGATCAACTCGAACATGACTTTCTAGGCTAAGACAATATTTTAGACAGTGTGCTTGATTTGAAGAAGTTAGCTACAATTGGAAAGCCAATGAACGGTAGAAAAATACGTCTTTCTACTCAAATAAGATAAAGCTTGTCATTTACCATTACACAAACACCAAATATGCAACCTTGTTAATATATACTAAGTGGGTGCCTATATGGCATGCCATGAAAAAATAACATTTTTAATTTTGTGCGTATAGCCTCACTCTCTTTTTTCCTTTTTTTATTTTTTAAGTTAGTTAAGTTAGTTTAAATGACTAATTAGAAAGAATCTTGTTGCAGTAAATATTAAAAATAAATAGTATATATTTTTGTATACTTTTGCTAGGCAAAAAGGCCTCGCAATGATAGAATTGCTCTACAAAGGACATATTATTGAGAAAATTATTTGGTGGTTTAGGTTCATCATGTGTGATTTAGTAGTGATCAGTTATGGTTATCAAATTAGAGGAAAGGCACTTGGGTTAGAAGTTCAACTTTGAAACTTTTGGAGCAATTATTTCAAATTCTATTCTTTTTCAACCATAAGGACAACAACAATTTAAAATCATATTAGTTTTACTTATCTATTATTTATTTATTTTGAAACAGCCAAAGAAGTCACTTTATTGATAATAGTCAAACAATATTACTTATTTATCTATCAGTTCACATATTTGTCTATTTGTCTCCCATGTATTTGTGTATCCACACATATTACCACCACCGATAGCAAGTAGAATCTGAAGCAGGAGACTCTCCAACAAATTTTCAGATGGCGGCAAATTTTTTGGCAAGTCTCCAATGACTCGCAGACAACGATAGTTGGCCGCCAGCAACGGTCGATGATCGACAATAGTGTGTGAAAATATAACAACACAAAGCTTGAAAAAAATGTCTGTGAAATGATTTTTACTTCTCATTAATATATTTCGTTAATTTTATATATCATATCCTTAAAACCAAAACACAAGAATCACTAAACTTAATGTCATATGCACACATAAAAATAGACTAATCACCAAATTTTACTTAGGAAAAATGGAGTCCGAAGGAAGCCTCATATTTCTGGCTTCATGATGGGGTGGGCTCAATAAAGGGGGATTTTGGAAGTGTCACTTTTTCTATTGTGAGGGACTATACTGGTTGAAATCGAAGTTGAGGTAGTTAAACTTAACCACCAAAAACGAAAGCAAGCTGTTAATGAACCAAGTTACTAAAGCTTAATTACTATGCGGCTCATTAAAATTTTATTTAAATTTGACTCGTTAAAAATTTATTTATTCGTTAATTTTCTAAACTCAAATTGAACTTAGTTGCTAAAATTAAAACTAAGTCAACTTGGCTCATGATTGACACGATCAACACTAGTATAAATTAGCTTGAAAAGCAAATAAGTTAAATTTAACTATATTTTCAAATTAATTTAAGTTTTCAAACAAAACTTCAACTTCTGACTTGACTCGTTTTCTGTCCTAATTAAGAAGACTTTATAATATTGAGCGAGAGATGAAAAAAAAAATGCATAGTTTTTACCAATATAGATAAATCTGTGTGCGTGTGTGCGTGTGTTTTTTTGTGTGTGTGTGTGTGTGTGTGCGTGACAGAGAGAGAGAGAGAGAGAACCTGAACAGCATGAAACATGTTAGAGATCAAGAAATTTTGGTATTGTTTGACACTGAACTGTGGGGAACGAATAGGTTCTCTGTAATAGTTCTGCAGAAGGTCATTTGTGCCCATGCTTAGTACAAATACTGCATTTCTGATTATTTCTTCAGCCTTCTTCACTCCCACTAGTTGTCTCAGGTGAATCTTATAATGCTTGAAATACTCCAACTGTCTCCTAAGAGATATTGCATTCTGTTTCACCAAGTGTTATATATAGAAGACTAGTTCATTCTTTGTTTTCTAAATACGTAAGTCTACGAACCAGTACAAAAACTGATCACAGAATTGATATAAAAAGGTTATTACCGAGAGATTGGCTGTGAGTTCGTCATAACCGGTACCTGCGGATGCAAAACTAACACCATGAAGTACGTCTACGTTCTTGATTGTTGGATCCAGAAACCCTTTTATTATGTTTGTATAGCCAAGTGCCTCCGCTGACAAAAAAAAAAAAAAATTAAATAATAATAAATTGAAAAATAAACGTATTGTATGATTTTAAAGATAGTTAGCTAATTTTTTTAAGATAAATGTGATTTAATACCATGTTGAACAAACTCTACATGATAAACGGATTAGATGGTCGAAATAAGGACAAATGAGCCGAACTAGGGAGTAGAGAGGAGTCAAACTACTTGAGATTTGCTTAAAATGCTATTAAGTTTTTGTAATTGGTAATTCCGTTTGATAAAACTCCTTTCAGTTGTAATTTTATTCAATTTTTTTTTAATTTTATTTTATTTCAGTAAAGGTATGAGTCTTTAGATACGAATCCTATCCGAATTATACGTATGTAAAGGAGTTTGTGATTTTGAGATTTTCATGGCTGTCACTTTGCTAATTATGTATGTGGATCAAGTGGCCGGTCAGCTTGCAAAGGTTCAGGGGGCAGCACCCCATGCCACTTCGCTGACTGTGCGCCAAACCAACGGATAACTTCTCGTCATATTCATCAATGATGGCAATTCCATGCACTATAGCACTTATTCACCATTTCAGGACAATGGTACCTTGTGTGAGAAATTATGAGAAACAATGAGGAATAGTCTATTCGACTCACAATGTTGAGAACGGTCACATAATGCATTAGGGGTGTGTTTGTTTTGGAGGATTAGGGGGGTGAGATTGGACTATTAGTCCCACCGGACAAATAGTCCATTGTTTGTTTCATGGGTAATTGATAAAGAGAGGTAGATTTATAATTTTGCATGGATAATTGAAGAATATGAGAAGGTACGGTAATTTTTGATTGACCAAGAACATAAACTCTATTAATTAATTTGTTAAAACGATCCAACTCTATTCAATGTGTAAAACTTATCAAGTGCATCATTCCAATAAAAAATCACGTTGGTCACATATCAATAAGTACTTGATCAGATCACATTTCTCTCACAATTTATTTCAAGAAATTATATTTAAAAATGTGATATGATCAAGTGATTATTGATATTAGATCAACATAATTTTTTACAAAGATAATGTACTCAACGGGTTCTACACAGTTTCAATCATCGACATGGACCTAAATCAAAATCCATCAGCGTTGAATAGCTCCCTCCAGTTACAGGATAGGAGTTGGGTCCTTGTTAAAATTAGAGAGAGGCATGGTGGTTTTCTTCAATGCAACTAAGTTTATTAATTTATTAAAATTAGATTATGTTAACAATTTTTTTTTTTTTTTTTTTGTAAAATCATTAAAAATATCAAATCCAATAATTTATATAATCTAAGATAAATAAGATTTGAAGAACCGATGTGCCACTACGATAATTTTTATAATTTCTAAGCGAGAAAAAAAAAAGTTAAGTTTTTATATTGTGTTACTTGTATTTATAATATATATACAATACAATCTAAGAATATAAATTACTTTTACATCATCCAATAACTGTATATTTAATATTCTTACATATTTATATCTATATAATTTAGGTTTCAGTTATTCAGATTGTTTGTTGTCTTTGTTTAAGGTCACTCAAATTTAATTTGGACTTTTCAATTTTTGCCCCAATATTCACTAAATTCAAAAATATTTTAATAAACCCTAAAAAGTTTGAAAAGTCTAGGATACAGATTAGGTTGTGTGGTAGAAATTAAATTTGTATAGTGTGAGGTTCATGTATAAAATAGATTTAGACTAGGTTCGGCATTTCCTAAAAAAGCTAAAAAGTCATTATCTTATTTAAAGCACATCATCTTATTTAAGTCACATCACCTCTTTATCACATCACTTCAAACTCAACCCATATTTCATAAAAAGTCAAAAAGTATACTTATTTGACTTGATAAAGGTTGGGTTTGTAATATTATTGTAAAAAAAATTTGACTTGTGCTCGAGTTACAAGGGTTGAATCCGTCCAAATTGCACATCGTTATTGTCACATTACTAAATTTAAAAAGTGAATCTAATTCTTTATTATTATTATTATTATTTAATTGGAGTGACACTACCCATCCACATGCCATTTTTCAAAATCATGAGCTTTCTATTTTCTTATTTTTCTTATTTTTTTATTTTTATTGAATTTTTTTAATATTTTAAATAATTTTGTTTACTTTTTAGACATACATAACATAAATATACTTAAAAAGTAAAAAATTTATGAAAAAAACCTTTTAAAAATTCACTAAATACCAAAAATAAAAAAATTACAAGAATTCAGTATTTTTTTTGTATTTTTATGTATTTATTAATTTTTTAAAATATTTTTTCATAATTTTTTTACTTTTTAGATACATCTAAGTTGGGTGCATCTAAAAAAGTAAAAAAAAATATCTAAAATTTTAAAAATATTCATTAAAACCAAAAAATAAAAATAAAAAAACTTAATTTTTAAAAAACCTAATCCAAAAACTCAAACCAAACGCCTGAATAGTAACAAATCCAGACATGCATGTGATAAAAAAACTCAAACCAAACGCCTGAATAGTAACAAATCCAGACATGCATGTGATAATGCACATCTAGAACTATTCACAACAGTTTCTAAACAACAAAATAAAAACAAGAACTAGAAAGAAAGTAAACGAACATAACACGTAGTGCATGCATGCCTTCGAAGTCTGTGGCTTTAACAATAGCTTACCAATGAAGTCAGTGGCAAGTCTTCCATTACTGAGCCTTCCAGTTGGGTGGCCATTAAACAAGCTCTTCCCATAAGGTGGGAAGTTTCCCTTTGACGCCTGAGGTAAGCGATTATTATTCCCGGGATCAACACTTGAATCTCCAAACACTAAAATACAAGTCACATTGTTTTTTGTAGCCATTTCTCTTAACAGATGAAAGTCAATAATAGCCCTAGCACTCATCGGCATGACCGACAGTACAATCAAGATTATCATTGCCACTGCCACCACCACGGCCCTCATCGTCATCAACGAGGAGAAACTAGGTTTGACAGAGTAAAACTAGTGAAGAAAAAGCTTGTTGTTTGTGAACTGAGTGAAGAGGAGAGTTAGCCAGCTTAGCTCCATAAATAGGCAAGAAGAAGTGCAATTGATTGATTGAGTTAGGTTTGAGCATTTAACGCCACTTCCAAACTAGTTAAGACTGATGCTGTGCCTTTTTTTTTTTTGTTTATGAGGAAAGTCATGCAGTGGTTGTGTAACATTATTTATTTTATTATTATTATTATTATAGAGCATTGTAGCGAGGGCTGTTTGCAGGAACGGACCTGTGGAGACACCATGAGAGGCCATGGCCCCCTCGCTTGTCTGGAGAATGCTACTGTTATGTTTAGTTATTTGAAAGTTGAATATAATTTTTATTAAATGTGGCCCATTGCTTTGAATGGATATGGTCCATCCTTTTTTGATTGCCCACATCATTCTATTAATAAGAAAACAATTGTGTATTTGAAATTTTTATTTATTTGTTTCTTACAAGATTTATAACATAATTTATACTGAGCATATTTTTAGGCTATATTTGGTTTATAAATTTGAAAAGAAAAAGAGAAAATTTGTATACAATATAAGTGAAATATAATTATATTTCATTTATTTATCTATTTCTTTTTTTATTTCTCTTTCCAAATAAATGAACTAAACATAAAGATATAAAAAGAGAAATGTTATTCCACACTATGTGGATGCATGTGTAAATTATTACGTGAAAAATTAGGTAACTCACATTACACATACAAAAAAGAGAAATTCTCAAATAAGTGCATACTCTGCAATACGATTTAGAATAACCAAAAGGAAGATTACTTTTGAGTCATTCTTTACATGACATTGCCTATTATGACCATGAATATTATTGTTATACAAAAAATGTAGAGCAAATTTTATTAGAATTTAAAAAAAAAAGACTAAATAAAAAATTTTAAGTGAAAGAGAGTTGATTGCAGACAAGTTTTATCTTCAAAACTTCATGGATCATAAGAAAATACAATTGAGAACTAAAGAGATTACAAAACTTTTGCGTCAATGGTTGAGAATGACTAAAAAATGAAACAATCTATCCACTTGTTTGCAAAGTATTGCATTTGTGTTTACTCTTTCAGTTACTACTATAATTATGAAGAAACATGTTGTAACAAAATGGATGATGATTTTTTTAACAAATTGTATTCATTTGTTCAAATAGAAACTTATTTTATTTTTTACGTATTAATTTAGTATTAAATATTAATTTATTTTTCTTTCTTTAATTGAAATAGAATTGTTTATATCAGTTCATATAAAATTTAAATAAAAAAAAAATTATTTTGGCTCCCCCGAAAAAGAAATCCTGATTCCATCCTGACTGTTTGAGATTTGAATTTCATGGAATAGCAACATTATTGTTCCAAATGAAAGTAGCTTGGTGAAAATTGTGGGTAATTCTGAAGTACTATTTGTTGTTAATTAGATAGTGTCTGGGAAAAGTAAATAATCATGACAACTATGATTGAGAACTCTTTTTTTTTAGATTTTATAGTCCCTTTTGAATCTTCACCATTAATAATGTGGGCTCCAAATATACATGAATGGATCTCACACATACATCAATGATGTAAATCCAAAAAGAATTGTGGGAGTCTTCAAAAAATGAGAGTCTCAAGCATTTTTCTAATCCTAACATATATTAATGAGTCATCATGTATATTTATTGATAACATAATATAAATAATAAAATTTTTGCCTTAGCATGGCCCACGCATTTGCATCAAATAACAATATATCCCGTATCAATTAATAAATTGCATTAATCTATCGAAAACAAATCTCTTCCCTTGATAATAAAAAAATTGATTACCTAATGAAATCCTTCACATTATGTATCTATTATTTTTTGATGTAGTATGTATGGCCATATATTCTTAGATTAAAGGGATAGTGTAGACGCGCCCTCGGGCCTCTCTCACAGTTCAGACTCAATTGGGTCACGGTCCTGTATCTAGTCTCGCAGAGTGCAATGCTAGACCGATGAATCATCAAAGAGTCCAAATCCGGCAAATCATTTTTGAAAACAATTTTTTTGAAAGAAGTGCCAAACATGGACTGCTTTTCCAGATACAGAGTCGCCACTTAAATATTTTATTTTGGGAAATTTGAGAAACCCTGACTCGTTGCCTAAGGCCATATGTCCGTCATCACCAAAGTTGCCTCGGCTCGGGAACTTCCGCTCGCCCGATCAAAGATCGGCCTCTACTAACCATGATATCTAGTTTTGAAAACATTATGCGTTCTTATTCCGGTTATTAGCCTAGATTTACTATGTGACGCGTACAGCATACAAGTATAGACTGAGTCGCCTGAATTGGAACAAAACATTTCATGTTTGTTTATTTGAAAATGGTTTGATAGTGCTACCCGCAAGTAGGCTAAAATATAGATTTGCCACCCTCAGGTGGGTTTAGAAAAACATGATTTTGCCACTATCTAGTGGGCTTTAAAACTCACAATTAATGAATTGTTCCAATTCAAATAACCCAACCTTCACCCACAGGCATTCAGGCAGTTATATCATATAAGCACATAGCCTCATGGTAAGCATGGTATCATGACAGTCACTCACACGCATGCAAGGATGCTAAAGCATAAAACTTACTGAGTACTCCAAGCCAAAACAGAAGCTATGTTAGAAATCCATGCATGATCCTAACTATACAGAAATGCCTAATGCAACGCATGCAAAAATGCAACTACAATAGACTCGGTTATTCTAAGGATGGCATGCGAAATGCTACAACTAACAAATATTCAATTTGGAATTGAAATACAAATGCAGTTAGTATGATGCGCCGAGCCCGATGTATGCAAGACAGATGAATGAATGCAAATATGCTATCATACTATATGCTAATTGAAACATGCCCTAATCTAACCATCATAAGCTGGTAAATAAAAGGAAGAAAGACGTGGGGTTGGAAGACATACATCACACGCACACACACTTATTACAACATTGCCCTCGCTCGGAGGGTCCAAAAGAATAATACAGTCTGAATAAATAATTACAGTCCGGAATGAATAATTAAATATTACAAAACCCTAATTAATTAACAAATTAACTAGGAAAGCGACAAACTAGCATGTAAGCCTATGGACTGCCTCAGCTCTGTTCCGAATGGTGGAATAATGCATGCTTGAATTGCCTGGCGCGGAAATCCATTACGATGCCCCGATTCGCCTCTGTTTGCAATTTTTCTCGGAATATTGTGCAAAGCTCTAGAAGGCCGTTGATTTATGATTTACTGCAACAGAGAGCAACAAAGGGGCATGGCAAAGTATTTTCATATATGCATGCATGACTATCCTTCGGGGAGTGTAGTCCTCGATTCTCGTGCCACCAATCATACATCTCGATGCATGATGGCCGAGAAGTCGAATTGCACGACTCGATGTGAAATGAATGCACATGAAAACACAACAAGACCTAAACTCCATCATGGGTAATTCGGAGTGTTGGCGACTGGGGAATTGAGACACGTTCTGTCACTCGGAGTACGAAACGTCCCTCGTTTTTTGTGCTTGGGCTAACTCCTATCCCAAACACAATGCAAATGAGATGGCATACACAATGCGACTAACATACAACCTAGCATACACAATGCACGACGCAATATGACATACACAATGCTCTAATATACAACCTAGCATACGCAATGCTATGAAATGGCATACACAATGTATAATTGACTTACACCAACATGAGTGGACCTCAGCCACACTCACATCAGTGGCCATAAGATGAAAATGAGACCACCGAAACGCGTGCACACATGCACGCAAACCGAGGACCGAACCTAAGGCAGAACGTGCAACTCTAACAAGGCATGGCAAGGCATGCAACATGGCATTCAAACATGTAAATTTTAGCACTGAAATATGATGCAAAACGATCCTGAATCATGGATATATGGCACCCGATGCATGAGATGAGCCCCGAAACTTCAAAACTAGGCACATGTATTGACTTGTAGCTATACAAAGCATGCATTATTTGACCATGAAGCACAAAGATAGAGCCAATGCAGTCCCAAAACATGAACATTTCTAGTTCAAAGCATGACCAAAAGATACTAGCGTGATGGACTAAAATGGCATGCAACTTTGACTGGCAAACATGGTTTACATGGCATGCATATGAAGCATATGAAATCTCACCAAACCAGCAAAAATCAGTGAATAAAACATGTCAAAATATGTCCAAATAATCACTGAAATGCAGCCAACATGTGCAAAAATGAGGGGCTTCTTTGGAAGGACATACAAGGGGTAATTAAGCACATACATCAAGGACACTTAGCATGGTGCAACCAACTTTGGAAATCAAATATTACAGCCCTAAAACTTACCAAATTGACCCTGAAATTGGTCTAGGGAACATGCAAAGAAAGGCCTCTTTGAAGGGCCCTGAATGGGATTGGTCTACACCTGTAACATAGACCTAAAATATGGTGAAATGGGCCTCGGACAGAGCCAAGGAAAGCCTCAAAACCCCCAGAATGAGGCCTGGAAAATGACTTCGATTCATGCAAAATAGGGTCCTTTTGGAAGGCCTAAAAGATCCCCAAACAAGACAAGGAGAGAGGGGGTCACCCCCCTCTAATTTTGGCCCTCAAAAATGCGTCAAAGCCACTGAAAATCCACTGGATTTCAGTGGCTAAGAGGCCAAACCATGGCTAATGCAAGTGCTCTAATGCATAGCCTTAATCATGAAGGAATGAAGCATGCATAGGGCAAGATGACTCCAAACAGAGAATAGACCCTAATCAAACATAAATATGATATCAAAACAAGATTTTTTTTTTATTTTAGGTCGAGGTCTAAAATGGCTCACAAATAAGGCTAATGTATCATGGAAAAACAGCCCTAAAAGAGAGATTGAGCAAACAGGGTAGAAAAAGGCCTCAAACAGCAAAGAGCCCTCAACAAAGTTGAAGAGGGGCTCAAAGCAAGATACTTTACAGTTTATGGAAAATCTCGAATATGCTCACAAGTAAGGCTAAAATATGATGCAAAAATA